TGCACTAACATCAACAAAGACGCCATATTTGAGGTTGTTAGATTGTGATGTTCAGACTTTTGTATTAGACTGCAGTGTTTCCCACACAGAGACTATACTTACTCACCAAGAGTCACTGCCTCTTTACCCACAAACACCCCCCCTCCCCCCACCAACACCCCTAACACTCACCACCCCGGACTGTGGTCTGCGTCTCAGCACTAAAGTATATTTTAACCCTGTGAGAAACTCTGGACTGTATTAGTGTTGAACTCAAAGCACAGCGAGAGCGTCTTCAGTGTCTTTGCTGACTTTCTCTCTGCTGAGATCAGAACAGTTCATAAGTGTAGGAGAGTCAGAGTGAGGAGCTTCTGGACCTTCTGGACCTTCAGGTATCCGCTGTGTTTGAAGAGTGATGCTGCCATGTTTTCCCAGAGCTCAGCAAATATTACAGCAGCACTGATCCTCATTTTACTGGCAGGTAAACTTTACATTTATTTACATTTCTGCTCTTAATGTGTTTGTGTTCCACAGCGTTGATCTACATCTGTGTCAGATTAACGTGGAGAGACTAAAAATCCTTCAACATATAACAGTTACAGTGTGTTTCAGAACATTTTAATACATTTGACACGATTCAGTCACAGGAAGTGGCTTTAGAACGAACAGCAGAGCTGCAGTAACTACAGATTAATAACTGATACCATTTTATAATCTCTTAAACTCACAGAACATTCAGACTAACTGCAGCTTTAAGCTGAAGATCTTCATCATCAGAGCTTATTTGTGTGATTAACTCTGTTAGAGCTTTGAAGCTGTTTTAAACTGAGATCAGCTCTTTCGTGGTTATGAGGTCTCCACCATCTTCACACGTCTCTGAGTAGCTCTTGGTTCTGTTAACAGGGTGGAAAAAGTCAGAATCTGTACAGAAACAGACACTGTGTTAACGTCTTACTGAGTTAAATTACTTTTATATACTTGTTACAACGTATACGAAGTCTTTGAACCAAACTGCCCCCCACGTCTTTCTTCGGCGTGCTGAGGTGGAGGACTCCCTTGGTTGAGGAGTTGAAAAGTGGTGGGGGGGGCAGCTGAACACGAACTCTGGTGTCCTCTTCATTGGTGCGCTGGAGAAGAGAGACCGAAGCAGGGTGTGCAGCTGCTGCAGGGTTTATTGCTGTCGGGTGCTGCTCGTGTGGACTGTCCACCAAAAACCATGCTCTGCTTGACCTGACGGTGAACTCCATTCCAACCAGCTCTGATGCAGCATGTTCCACTGTGCTTCTTTATATAACATCATTACTGTCAGAATAATTTCTCCATTTTTATAATTCTTCTTTTTTCATAATCTGAAAGTCTGTTGCTGTTATTAGTTGTGTGTGAATTTCATGAACAGAAATGATCCAAAACGACCTGCATAAAAGCTTTTTTACATCAGGTTCTTTTTAAAAAATCTTCTGTCCTGAAATTTGTGATGAGTGCTTTGAAGGTCTAAATGATTTTTTTTCTTTTGGATATATTATTAAGTAAAATGATCAAATTTCAAGAATATTACAGTGAAGTACAGATCTTCCAGAATAATACTTGAGTACAGGAACAAAGTACAGTTATTTGAGTATTTTTGTTTCTGTTTAAGTTAGACATTAAATATTATCATCAGTGTTTAACACTGTCTCCACTCTGTCCATCAGAACATCAGATATCAGCTTCACCTGCAGACAGTCTGAGAGGCTCAGGTAAATAAATACTCCTTCACACACTTTTTTTTTATAAAAATGTAAATAATAATTGAGATTTACAGAATTCTAGTATATGATGTGATTACTGTGGTGAAGAACAACAACCTCCCTCAGCAACACTGTACGTGTCAGTCTGTCAGTCTGTCTGTCTGTCTGTCTGTAAATAAAGTAATTTAAGAAGAAATTCAGGACCAGGAAATAACCTGCATTCAGTAGTAATTTCAGATATAAAATACTAAACTTCACTTTCAAAATAAGAGCTCTCTTTTGTTGTACAGTTTCAGTTCATATCTTATCAGCTTCACTGTAAATTGAGATTTTTGACCACCGAACAATAAAATCCTTAAATATTTGGAAGTGGCCTTTTCCAGGATGGACAAATCACAGAACTAATTCTAAGAAATGTTCATTATATTTAGGATGATAAGGATCAGCCTGCTAATAAACTCATACTTAAACATTTCAGATGCAAAATTTTATTTTATATAAATGTTTAAAATATGCTAAATATACACAGGAAACTTGTGCTCAGTGTAATTAAATGTGTCATGTCTACCACTGTATGTACTCCAAACAGTCTCATGTACAGTACTGTGTAAAAGTGAGAGACCCCCTCTCATTTATTTATATTTCAATCAAAACGGCCGTTAAGTAGAAGTTAGGCTGACTTTACACAGTGAAACATGAAAGGAGCTTAATTACACTTGAGTTGCATAATGTAAATAGATCCGCAGCTCATTTAGATCTCAGCACGTTTCATAAAACAGCCAGTCAGAACGCTGATAGCACATCACGTGATCACATCAAACAGCATAATTTCAAGCGATTGATTTTATCAGATCAAAGTCTTAACATACACAGTAAATTTCACAGAGGAAAGTTCAAACATATAATGAAGAGCTGCAGAAAGATATAGATAAAAGTTTTTTTTGTATGTTAATGTTTGATGCTGTGCTCTGTGAGCTCCTGTAACCAAAACCAAATTCTTTGTATGTGTAAGCAAACCTGGCCAATGGCCAAGAAAGCACTGACTTGTAAACGGCGTTTTACAGATATTTAATTAAAAACACAAAGAAGAAATATTTTAATATTTGATTTTATAACTTTATTGATTTTTTTGTAAATATACACAAAATCCAAATTTGATGCCTGCAGCACATTCCAAAAGAGTTAGGACAGGGTCAGTATGAGACTGGGAAGGTTCATGGAATGATTAAAAACACTGGTTTTGGAACCTTCCACAGGTAAACAGGTGAACAGGTGATGCTATTGTCGCCTGGCAAACAATTAGCCCTACAGATAATCACTGACTCCACTACGCCACCTAGAGAATTGCACCCTAGGAATTAGTTTTGTGTTAAAGACCAACTACAAACTTCAGTGATTTTCACCACAGTTAAGTTTGTAAATGAGGACAGAGATGTAGTTCAGTTTAACTGGACAGTTTAATAGGTTATTTAAACTCCATAAACAGAAAAACACATTTAAATTGTTTATTAATACAGACTTTTAACACAGCTGGACAGCAGATTTCCCCATAAGATTGGACAGTAAATGAATGACCGAGTGTCCTGGATGTGACCAGACCACTGCAGTAAAAGCAGAATTTTAGGAAGGAATAAATAAGTAACCAGGCTTCCACCTCACTGTGGGGCTTTAAGAGGAGAGTCGCTTCACTGTCGGCAATCTGCAGGACAGCTGTCCAACCTCCAGCTTGTACTTAATGGCAGCTGTGAACTGAAATAAATGAGAGGGTCTCTGACTTTTGCACAGAGCTGTGTTTGTTTTATTTCAAGAGTATCACAGGTTTTAAAAGATCGTTAATATTATCACTGTTTTCAGTAAAAACACATCAAGATCAAAAGAAACGAGTTATACATTATAGTATCAATCAGTTCTGCTACATCAGTACAGGATGTTCTACAGTGTACAGGAGGCAAAGTAGCAGGAAGACAGAATTAATATGCTGAGTTACATAAAGAAGAAAGGAGCTCCAACACGTCAGTTTCTCAATATTGTGGTGGTTCTCTGCTCTGTGTGTTCTCTGCTTCATTTGCATATCTCCCATGAGTCTTTGCAGAGCTACTGTGCTGTGTAAAACTGCCTGTTTCTCAGTAACTAAGGCTGTGTTTACATTACCAGCTGAAGAGGCACAAATCAGATTTTAGCCTTAATGTGTTAAAAATCTGATGTTTTCAAATCCGACCTGAGACTCTTTCATATGTGGATCAGATACGAATCTGATTCCCATGTGACCTTAATGTGACACTCAGATCTTAATTCATGTCTTTTTTTTCCACTTCGCCATCATTCAGCGTTAATGTGGCAGCAGCGCCGACCCTGAAGTTAAAGCCAGTAAATGGGGGAAAAGCATCACGTCTCCCTTTTTACCTTCGTCTCACTCCGATAACGAGCAGCTGAGAGCTGATCAGAGCTGATCAGAGCTGATCAGAGCTGATTATATTCACAGCTAAAGTTCTAGTTTAGTTTAGTTTGTTTGCTGTTCATGATTGTGATTCACTCATATGACGTTATTGATTAGGGTGTGTGGGTCGTTTCAGGACACCAGTTCGTTCACATTAATGACAGATTTGAGTCTCTTACCTAACGAGTGTGAACTGTCATGTTAGACAGATCAGATCTGAGTCAAGCTTCAGGGTTGATCAGAGAGGCTTGTAATGTAAATGTAGCCTATCTGTGTTTAGCACCTACGTTAGTCACTACTGAGTTGTATGTGTTATATTGGAATTAGCTGTTGGTCCTGGTTAAAAGTGTTAATGCTTCTGTGAATCTCAGTTCAGTTTACTATTTCCCCGCTGTTCAGTCCGGCTGGTGGTTCTCTGGCCAACCAGAGCTCCAAAGCTGGTACTGTAAGTGTGAGTGTGCTAATAAAAGCACTGCAAATTTCCCAGAATGCTCCCTGGTCCCACCTCTTCCTGGGGGTCTTAACAATATGTACTTAATGTAGTACATCTTTCTTCCTCTCACTGTCTGTGTCTGTCTTTCACTGTCAGTGTCTCCCTGCTGTTTGTTACCTTCTTTTACTTCAACTACAGCTCTAGATGGACTTTAATGAGTGCCATTCTTTGGAAATGTTAGACTGCAGCATGACTGGGACTTAAAACAGTTATAAAGAGCTACATACATCATTCTTAAACCAGAGATTGTGATGTTGTTTAGTTTAGCTAAATAGTAATTAGTGAGAATATTACAGTACAGACTGATATTATTATATTATATAATTTCTTCTTCCTGACTGTGACTCTGTGTTCCAGGTGAAGAGCAGTGGGGTGTGACCTACACTGCTAAACATGTCTGTGCTCTGAAAGGATCATCAGTTAATTTCTCCTGCACTTATAAACACCCTGAAGGACTCACAGTGACTAAATCACTCTGGTTCATTGAAAGTCTCAGGAAGACTAATGTTGAGCCTGTGGATGTGGGAGAGTCTGATCAGTATAAGGGGAGAGTGCAGTACAGCCAGACCCTGAACTACTGTAGAATGACCATCACTGACCTGAGAGAGAGTGACGCTCACACATACAAGTTCAGATTCTACACTGGTGATCCTAAGGGCAAATACACTGGCGAACCTGGAGTCACTCTGTCTGTCACAGGTAACTCTGGATAATAAAGACCTGCATTCTGACTAATTCTGATATTCCAGTATCTGTAAGAGTGAATGGATATTTGGTTAATCAAAGGGAAGGAAAAAGGAAGCAGACCTGTATTATTTCCTCCTTTGTTTTCCGTGATGCAGCGTAACAAATACCCCAACAGTGATTCCAGTGTTCAGATACCGACACCTGGAACAGTTAACCGAGTATCCATACACACCCCTACTAGATACATACAGTGAGTGTAGTTAACTGTAAGAGTATCTACAGATGAAAATAACACTAAACCTTGTTTAAAATCACCTGCAGATCTGAAGGTTACAGTGTCAGATACAGATGGAGGAGTAAAGAAGCTGACCTGTAGCTCCTCCTGCACTCTGCCCAACCCCACTTACACCTGGTACAAGAACAGACAGCCTGTATCTCAGTGTGAATCTGCCTCCTGCTCTGTACCTGTGGTCAGTGAAGCGGTCAACTACAGCTGTGCTGTTAAAGGCAGTGATCTCCACTCTCCTCCAGTGTGTGAGTACAGATTATCACATACACTAATAATCTGTTTAATAATCTAAAGCAGTGTTTCTCAACTCTGGTGCTGTTGATGTTTCTCCTTCATGTGACTCAACTACTCATCTCATTAACCAGTGGAATGATTGACCCTTGTTCATCACAGTTGTGTGTGGTAAAATCTAACCATAAAATCAGTGCACACAAATTTCACAGACAATTTTTGTTATTCATTAATTAAATCTTTGGTGTATCGGTACAAACCACCAATGCCCAACCATTATCAATATCACCAATAATACCAATAATAAGAATAAAAATAGAAAATAACAATAATACTAGTAATTTGTGCACATTGCAATCCAGTACACTGCCCCCCTAAACCTAAACACAGCTACTGTAGAAGCATTTCATGCATGGCAATAATATGTTGTTTAAATGTTAATTTAGGAAAATAATCACTCAACACAAACATCATATCACTGTTCATTCTTTGCAGTGGACGTAATTTAAACACAATACAGTTTGGTCAGTAGGGGGAGCAGTGCAATCACCACTCCACCTCAACCTCTGCCTATGAGCACAGCCATTGGCTCATGTGCTGCTAAATGCTGTCGTTTTATTGTACTGAAACATCTGCATAAAGTAGGTCATGCTTCCTGTAAATCATACTGTGGTGTCTGCATAGAAGAAGAATGCTCTGTTATTTTGAACAGGCACTTCAACAGGCAGCAAGAATCCCAACACCAAACACAGGTGGGGGTAATGGGGGAGGACACAACAGATAGAGAGGGTAGATACTTCTAACGGTCCATCCTCTTCGCACTCAGTTTACACCAAGTAACACAACAACACTATTATCAGCGCACCTTCCGCAACAATAGCAACTATAACAGAAGAATCACTGTCTTTTCTTACTGGGAGCATGGCACCTCCCAAGAGCCACTTTGCATGGCCACACTGCCAAAGTCCCTGGGCAGTGCAGAGTCCCGGCCTGTCTACCGTCCTGGTCAGCACAAGTGCTGTGGGGTGCCCATTCCTCAGCAGCGAGCACCCCTGGTTTCTCTCAGGGCCATGTTGGGAATGATCACAGGTATTAAATCAGTAGAGGTGCTGTGGAAGAGAGGAACTGACACAGTGTGGGTAGAACAAGGCAGCGTTAGTATTAGTCTTAGTGCAGCACAGTTTTTCTTCATGGACCTGGTTTGTACCTCTCACTCACCTACATTCATCAGGTTGAAGGTTCTCCACAAGAGGGAGTAAATATCCAGTAGAAAGGAGGAACCTGTATAAATAAGTTTTAGAACCAAGCCCAGTTATGGTGTGAGGAATATTAAGTTCATCAGCTTGGCTGTGAATGATCACAGGTATAAAATCAGTAGAGGTGCTGTGGAAGAGAGGAACTGACACAGTGTGGGTAGAACAAGGCAGCAGAGTCCAGTATTAGACTGGGACACTGTTTTAGAGTGAGGAATAACAGAACTGCCCTCCCAGCTGGCAGAACCTCCCGTCTGGACGTGTTATGTAAGAGCAGTTTGTTCTGTATGATCTGTTTGTCTCTGAGTGTAAGAAGTTCAGTAACTAGTCGAGTCTCTGTCTTGTTCAGACTCTCCCAGACCTCCATCTGTATCTGAGATTGAGTTTAATGGCTCAGTCACGCTGGTCTGTGTCAGTGACTCCAACCCTGCCAGCTCTTACACCTGGTTCAGGAAGATAGGAGGAGACATCACACAGTTTGGAGAAGGAGCCAATTTAACTTTAGCTGCAGGAACAGATGGAGTTTTCTACTGTATGGCAGAGAATCAATTAGGATCATCCAACTCATCAGAATGGACTTTTACATCAGGTAGGTTATGGGCTGATTCAGTCACCTTCTTTCCTACACAGAGATCAGTATGAAAAAGATGTCTGGATTCCTGCTAGTTTTAGGTCTCAGTGCAGCACTTTAGGTCCTCATCCTGGTCTCTGTTACAAGAGTCATGTGACTTTGTACATCTTTGTAACAGCAGGAGTGGAAAATAAACAGGTAACTGTATATCAGTACTACAGTAATGTGGAGACTGAGCTCTGTGCTGTGTGTTCAGTTCATTTGTGTTTGTTTCTCCCTGTAATGTGTGAAAAAGTGCTCATCCAGCCTTGATTAATCAGTGTTAGCACTTATCATGTACATAACAAAGCTGTTTGTCACTGAGTCCCAAATAAAGGACATTTCCGTTCTGTGGACATTAACCGTCTCTGCCTGGTGACGGTTAGCCAAGTTACCATGATAACAGCCCCCCAGTGTTTACTGTTGGTTTAAAAATCCGTTGTTCATTTAATGATATAATTCAAACCACAGCTAGAACCCAGTGTTCCCACTTAACTTTCAAATGTTACGTGATGTGATATCCCAGTGTGGGCGATATGGCAGAAAAAAGTATCTCAATATTTCAAAAGGTTTCAGTGATAAACAATGTTCTGTTCTCCTCCTGTGTATATATGTACACAATTCAACAGCAAGCCAAACTCCATTCAGACGAGTACATGGGAGTCAGATAGAGCCTCCAAGCTCCAGGGCTTTACTGAGCTGCACATTGATGCACTGAGTGAATAGGAGTGAAACTATAGGGAAAAATAGGAATAACAATATACAGAGTGAGTAATGCTCTTAGAGCTGTAGCATGTTCAGTAATGTACAGCAGTACAGGGTGACTGGAGAAGACACCAGATTAACTTTACACAGCCAAACGTGGCAGCTGGAGGAGCAGACTGAGCTGTTTGCTGCTTTGCCCTAGCAAGGGAAAGAAAAAGGCTGCCAAACTAGACGTCCTCAGCAGGGGGTGCTATTTAACATAACAAGGACAGAACAAACGATAAGTCACGATATTCGCTTTTTCTGACATCTATTGGAGCAGACAGGAAATGATCAGCAGTGCCACATTTTAAAATATTATTAAAAAACAGTGCAGATTAGTTTATTCAGCGTTTCACACTGAACTGCACTTCACACAGTTAAACATGACTGACTCGCTCTCTTTGCAGAGAAACATGCATGAAAATACTGACGTAATGTGACACATTGTGGCGTTATTGATTGTGATAAAGATAAATATTGTCATATTGCCCAGCCCTGGTGATATTCTACATCAGTAGTCCTCAGACCGGTCCTCAGGAACCTCTAGACGATCCTCAGTGTTTGCTCTATCCTTTTGTGTCTGGGGGTCCCTGAGGACTGATTTGGAAACCACTGTCCTACATTAATACTACATTTAGGTTTCATGACTTCAGATGTTTTAAAGGTGACAGTTCTGTCCTGAAAGTCGAAGTTGACTAATCGCTGATGATGTCATGAATAAAACCAAAGGAGAAGGAATGTTTTGCAGTTAACCACTTAAAAAATCTGACTTTAAAAATCCATAACAAGACCAAACTCCACAGCTCAGTACAGCAAGACGAGCCCTTTCCCTGGATCTCATTCATAGCCTTCAGGAAACCAGAGATACGGACCCGGAAACCACAGCCTCCTCACCTGCTGTCTTCTCTGTCAAGATTAAGGCGTCATCATCGAGCAGTAAAGTCAATCAGTTGACCAGTCTGTGTCCTCTTGTGAGTTACGGTTAAAGTTTCTTCCTGTTTATTCTCTGGATCAGCTCTTCAGCTTCTTTACCCCACAACATCAAACAGCCAGGATTCTTTTTTGTTGTTTATTGTTGTTGTTGTTACTTTAACTGTGAACTGTGCAGCTCACCATGGTTGTATTTTGTCAGGATGTTATATTAACTAACGCTGTACAAACGGTGGCTCTGTGTGTGCTGCTGTCATCGCCGCACTGACCGGTGGGGTGTCAACAAAATGCTGGCAGTGACCAGAGTGACATGAATCAAATACAGTCTATTCTACAATCACAACATTTACTGAACTGCACCTTTATTATGTTCTTTTATTTCACAAAGATTTCAGCTTTAGCTTGCACGGTTTGCTCCCTTGTCAGAGTTAAGAACTGGAATTAAATTAAGATTAAAATTACTGGACATAAGTGTTTATTATTAGTACATTTTTTTTTGTTATTGTTATCATTGCTCTGCATGCAAAATAACCTTTGTAAATCTCTGTAAAGCTGATGCAAAGATAAAAAAAACACCCCCTAACTTCTTCACTTTCATTGTAGTATATAATAAATTTACTTCTGTACTTTCAAGTATATTTTTAGTTTTCACTCACATGTTTGACTTTTCTGTGCTTTTTCCTCTCCTGCATCTCTGCACTAATACAGATAACAGGACTTCAGTATATGCAGCTTCTGGAGTCGCCGTGGTTTTACTTCTGATATTCACTGCAGTCTTTTTGTGGATGAGGTGAGAATCTGAACACATGTAAGATATGAAACATCCTCCAAATGCTGCCTGTAAGCTGTGCTGCAGTTTAGCTTCTTCACTCTAATATAAGCAGTTTAATACAGTAGAGAGTAAAATAGACGGTGTGCAGTTTCAGAACATTAACAGGAGTTGATTTAATGCTGGAGATGTGAGTCTGAAGGTCATTTTCCTGTGAAAACTCCAACAGGAGACGAGCAGCAGTGACCAGCAGAGAGAGAGAGGAGAGCAGTGGAGAGGTGAGTTTTAATGAGGGAGTCATTTGAGTTCAGTTTGAATTACATCCATTAAGGAATTCATGAATTGATCAATGTTCTTGATTAAACAGAGCTCTAATTCTGTTCTACACAGGTTGGTATGGCTCACATAAAAGGTTCTCCAATAGAACTTTTTCAGCTCCTGCTGCACCGACTAACAAAATAAACCCCAAATATGATGAACACTAGAATTTTTAAGTCCAGTCATCTGGTTCTGTATCTCTCTCTCTCTCTCTCTCTCAGGGAGCTTCTGCTCCTGTGTATGATGATGTCTCCACCCTGGCTGTGACCTCTGACCCCTCAAGAGCTGCATCCTCAGATGATCAGGATGATGTTCAGTACTCCACCGTTCATTTCTCACACTCTCAGACGAAGGACGTTCCTCTCTACTCCGCTGTCCAACAGTCAAACTCTCTGGGTGAAGAAGAGGAAGTGCAGTACGCTGCAGTGAACACTGCTAAACCAAGAACTGCTCAGTAAGCAACACAAATAACAGTGAAGCAGTTTATTCTGACACTCACAGCTCACTTCTTCAGCTTTCTCTGGAAATAGATTCTCTGCAGCACAGACAGTCAGCAGCCCCTGTTAAATTTAATTTTAATGCTTATTTCATACCTTTTTGTTTTTACCTGCACTGATGGAATGAACATCAGTTCACTGCTGGCTTAAAGTTTGCAGTATGAAGGACATTTTCCACTCACTGCTATGTAGTTTGCATTACTGAGAAATCTAATATCTGTGTCTGTAGGGTTACAGATGCAGTAACACAAATAAAATGCAGATATTTTACTGCAGTAGCCCAGCGTCCCAAACGTTCTGCTGTTCTGGAGTTACATAAACAAATGTTGGTTCAAAATATCGGCCAATCCTAAACACGGGTCTGATGCTGATGCCTTCTTTAAGCAAATATCTGTAGATATTCCTCTTATCTCAGATATTATCATGCATCGCTGGTCTTGAGCGCACAGTCTCATTTTTTTTTTTTAATAGCCCCCTATTAATTATTTATTAACAAACTGTGCTGAAACTCAGTTCATTCTCAACAGCTTTAGGGTCAGGATTAGGCCCAGAGTTAAGTTTAGGGTTGAGGTTAGGGTTCGGGTTAAGATCACAGCTGTGATTTGGAAAAGTTCAGCTAAATTTAGTAGATATTTAGTTGCATGTAAGTTAAATACAGTGTAAGGTATCTACAGTGAGAAATCCAACTGAAGTGTTGCCAAAGACGCTTGATTGATATTAACCTCACTAAAAACATTACCCAGCTATTAGTTCATAACGTCTAAGTCTGCAGGGAAAGCAAATTTGTTTCTCAAATCAGATCTTTTGCGACGACTCTCCGCTCTGTTTTTTGCAAGTAATCAGATCAGATTTGTGTGTCCAGTCATCACCAGTCTATCTGCATGGGTTGCCATGGTAATGCGTACACGTCAGTAACTACGTAGCTACACTGGTGACGCGGATTTCAAGCACAGATGCAGGAGAGATGAAGGAGCTTCATCTCCCCTCCAAACTTCAGAACTCTCTTCATCATCATGAATCTTTGGAGCTCTTCTTGAATCCCAGCACTTCATCACTCTGGATTTCACATCTTTGTTGTTTGTCGCATTGCGAGTGGCGAAAAAGACACTTTAAAATACGATTCGAGCGTCTGTAAAAATCTGACTGGAGTCGCAAATAGATGAAATGGACAACATGCAGACAGTCAGATCAGCTAGCTTGATTAATCAGTTATACATGCCAAGTTAGGTTATGTGTGATATGTGCTTTTTAAGATGGTGGATACTCATTAGTCGTAAAGAAAACAAGCAAGTTTTTATCCCACTTCTGACACCAGTGAAGGACCCAGTAGGTGAAGAATTACACAATGTCCAGTTTCTCCTCATGAGCTTTGATTTATTATCACGGAAATGAATGTTAGTGTTTTTCCTGATCAAATCACAGTGTAGAAACTGATTAATCTTGAAAGGCGTGTAGCACCTCAGAACGTGTTTATGAATGTGTGAAATGCCCCCGCTGCATTAAAGGAGACAATAATATGATCTTACTGTTCCAAATGTTTGCAGGAATGATGAAACTCCGATCTACAGCACAGTCCAGAAGAACATGAGAAGATAAAAGCTCCCAGCTCTCCAGCAGACGAACCAATAGCGGTGAACAATATGAAGACACATCATTTTCGTGATGAATCTCGTCACAGTGTACTTTTCTGGGTATTTTGTTGATGTCGTCAGTATTTTAACACTGACCAGCTGCATGATTCATTACAAAGAGAGCTTAATTAGTCCTGTTTAATTAGATTTAGTGCAGTACAGAAATAAAATCACTATAGCTTTTGATGGATTTAGGAAAAAACTGCTCCATTCCTATTAGATGGAAAGAGGCAGCAGATAGAAATATGCAGTCATAATGTTTTTAAAATTTCATAGCTTTACCAGTTTCAGGGCCAGAAAACTGATCCATGCTTTTGTTTTCTCACCTTCATTACTGTAATGTGTTGCTCACAGGACCAACAAGATCTGAGATCATCCAGTGCTGCGTTCACCATTTTCCACTAATTAAACTTAGGAAAAGGGGTGAAGCAGACTTTTGTTTTTATTATGCACTGAAGATCTGAAGCACATTATCAATAAACATTCATCTTCTTTTATAGTGATTTAAAAATCTTTAAAAAGTTACTTTTAAAAGATTTCCTTAATTTTACTGTAATGTTACTTTTACATTACTCATATTATTGTAATTATTTAACTTTTTTTTTGTTTGTTTTTAATTGTTTGAACTGTTTTCATTAACTCTTTTGTTGCTGATTTTGTTGCACCTTGTTGCCAATTTTATTTGACTAACTTTTGTTTCTTTTATTTCTCTGATGTTTTAAGTTCACACTGTAAATCAATTGGAGCTGATTATTATTATTGTTATTATTATTATTATTATTATTATTATTATTATTATTATCATTAGTTTACAGAGCAGTATTATTTCATTGTAAATGTGCATTGCTTTAATATAATGTTTAGTGAGGCAAAATGAATAATAAAACAGTAATGTTGCACATATTTAATGCAAATTATTAAATAGGACCACAATAGTAATATAAAAACAGTAGAATTGGGGAAAGTGAGGATGTAAAGGATGTTATTGTTCTGCTTTTCTAACAGATCTACTGTACACAGCAGTGCAGTTTGCCTCACCTCATTTACCTCAACCTCAAACATTTAAAGTCAGCATGAATCAGAAATCAGAGCCTAATTTCCTTTAAATGATGTTCACTGTGATCGGCTGTTTCGTTCTAATAAAGCACTGAAAGCACTGCTGGGTTTAGAGAGCGTTGTTTGGGTTCTAGAGAGTTACAGAAGAACAGTAATGAGTAGAGTTGTGTGCGCAGTGTGATTAATATCATGGGTTCAGCACCACCTACTGGTTGGTCAGTAAAATGCAGCCTCTTCTACATTAAGGAATTCTGGGAAACTCACAGTAAAGACTGAGTGCATTGCTGTGGGTCCTCACTGCTCCTGACTGTGGACCCAGAAAAATCTAAATATCACAGTAAAGTGCTGAAATGTTCAATATCAGCTTCTATATTCATAATTAATACCACTTACAGACCAACATACTGAAGCTGGGATTATCAGAACGACCATTTCAGTTATTTTACTGTTAGAGCCACACGAGGCTGCGCTAGTGTTAGCTAGTTTTATTTACACTGATAATCTGACCAAATTACGACTGAACCTGCATTTTGTGGTTGTCAGACTCACTGCAGGACAGTTAGATTGTATTTTATTATTGTTATTATCCAGTTTATGGTCCAGTGTGCTGTATTTTATTGATGTAAACTGTGTCTACAGACGAGCAGGACAGGAAGCTGGTTTTGCTATGCAGTTATTTACCTTTCATTCCTTTCATTTGTGTTAATCTGAACCAGATAAAGCAGTTTGAGCTCCTTCCAGTAGGGGGCGCAGTTCACCACCTGTTCCCCCCAAACTCCTCCTGTGTAGAAGACCAGCTGAAGTGTAGGTCACTGTTCTCAGCCACTCTTCCTGTAACTGCAGTGACCTTCACTGTTTCAGCCTCTCATCACTGGATACTGTCAGTTATTCAGTCTCTCTCTCTGTCAGTCAGTAATTAAAGAGACTGTCAGCTCCGTTACAGACACTCAACATCAGAAATGATCCTACAGATTTAGGACTTGATGATCTTTAACCAAAGAGAGATTTAAAACTGAATTTAATCCACAATTCAAATGGAGTTAAAAGTTAGAAAAGCTCATCTTTCCTGCCTGATCAGGTCTGTGTGGGCGTGTCTGACCTCACGCTGATTGACAGCAGCATAAAGCAGCATAAACAACCAACAGCAGCAGCAGATTTTTACACTTTTAAAGCTTTTATTTTCTGGACTTTTAAAAATCTGCCCTAATTCTGATTGGTACGAGGAGAAACTGGACGTCAGCCTCTTCAACATACTGCCCACCTCAAAGCCAACAGAGGAAACACAACAGTGCAGGAATCTGTCAATCAAAATGACCATCATTGTTCTTTATTTGACAGTTAATAATGAATTCATGCAGGAGCCGATCAGAACTAGAAGCACCAACAGATTAAGGAAATAATCAGACAGTCGCTTTAAATCAGTCTGAGTTACTCAGTAATACTGACACTCAGTGTTACAGCCAGTAATGTAGTCAGACTGGAGTGCAGTCAGTTCAGATAGGCGCTTTAGCTCCGCCCCCAGCGAGATATTTCATCTTTAGCTCCGCCCCCAGCAAGATACTAAATATTTAACCCGGCCTCCTCATCAGTTTTCTCCCATTTTGCTCCGCCTCCTTATCAATTTCTCCCGTTTAGCCCCGCCTCCTCATCGGCCGCGGTTTGGCGCTCAGTTGTGTCTCCGTCGCGCTCTGTGCTGTGGACTCTCAGTGAGGAGTTAGCTTAGCAGCTAAAACAAACAGCTCTACAGAAAAGTCGCTTTAGGACTCAAACACAGAAAAAAGATATGTTGTATATACTAACAGACAGTTAGTTCTGTTATGGGTGACCGAACAGAGCAGAGAGGTGACAGAGTGCAGCGGCCTGACTATGGCAGCATAACTAAGAGGGAGAGCCAGAAGGTAACAAGGACATGAGGGCTCCCTGAGAAGTCGGCGCTCCTCTGCTCCATCGTCAGTGAACGCGTAAGAGCAGTGGAACGACAGAGCAGTGAGACGACAGCACCAGCATTCCCAGATTACCATAAGACTCTCTGTCCGTGAACCCCAGATCTGCACCTTTTCTAACAGGAAAACTAATTAACCAAAGGCTCGACTAAACAGGTACGTTTTTAGCCTAGACTTAAAGATGGAGGCTGGGTCTGAGTCCCGAACACCTACTGGTGGGCTATTCCAAACCTGGGGGGCTTTGTATGAAAAGGCTCCTCCCCCTGACGTAACTTTATTTATTCTGGGTACTAATAATGAGCAGCACCTTGTGATCTAAGTGGGCGTGTCAGTTGATAATAAGAAATAAGGTCACTGAGGTACTGAGGATCAAGGCCATTCAGAGCTTTATATGTCAGTAGAAGAATTTTGTACTCAATGCGGAATTTAACTGGCAACTAATTTTGTCCTCTGGTTTAGCTGAAATATATAATTGTGTATCATCGGCATAGCAGGGGAAACTGATGCCATGTTTTCTAATGATGGTACCTAGTGGTAGCATATATAAGGTAATAATATGGGTCCTAACACAGAGCCCTGTGGAACACCATACTTTACTCTTGTGAGAGCTGATGGTTCACCATTTACATTAACAAACTCAAAGCGATCACTAAGGTAAGATTTGAACTGTGAAAGAGCTTTACCTGTCACTCCTACTAGTTTCTCAAGCCTGTCTAATAGAATGGAATGGTCTATTGTGTCAAAATCTGCACTAAGATCAAGTAAAACCAGTAAGGATATGTTTCCTTTATCAGCGGATAATTAAAGATCATTTACAATTTTCACTAACGCTGTTTCAGTACTATGGTGAGGCCTGAAGCCAGACTGAGATTTTTCATATATATCACTCCTATGCAGATGGGAACATAATTGTTTTGCCACGGCTTTCTCTAATTTTTTTGATAAAAAGGGAAGATTTGAAATAGGTCTATAGTTTGGTAACTCAGAGGGGTCAAGACTGGGTTTCTTAATTAGGGGTTTAATTACAGCTAATTTAAGAGACTTTGGAACATAGCCGAGGCTGAGAGAAGAGTTTATTATAGATAGAAAAGGCTTGGTTATTTCTGGCAAAACGTCTTTAAGTAAACCTGTAGGAATTGGATCTAGTATACAGGTTGTTGTTTGTGAAGATGAAATAATTTGGACGAGCTCTGTTTGTTGGAGTAAAGTAAAAGACTCCAGTGTCTCTGTAGTGGTTATACTGCACTCCAGATCTAGATTAGGTTTATAGGACGCTGCACTGCAATGCTGCGCATTTTGAATTCTGTGCCTAATCAATTCAATTTTATTATTAAAGAAGTTCATGAAGTCAATGCTCCTGTAGGTTGATGGTATCTGGGCTTCAGTAGCTGCTTGATTATTAGTTAATTTAGAGATAGTACTGAATAGTAGTCTAGGATTATTCTTATTATTTTCAATCATTGACGAGAGACTGAGAGGCTGAACGTGCTGACTTTAGTGCTTCTCTATAGTCTATAAGACTCTCCTTCCAGGCAGATTGGAAAACCTCAATTTTAGTCTGACGCCATTAACACTCTAATCACCTAACGGTCTGTTTCATAGCTCGAGTATGGTCATTGTACCATGGAGCCTTTCTGCCTTATTCTTTTACTTTTTAATGGAGCCACATTATCTAAAGTAGAGCGAAAAGTGTCCTCCAAACATTTAGTCAGCATATCTAATTCATTGGGTTCAGACGGACAGCTAATTAAGGACGAAAGATCTGGAAGGTTTTCAATAAAGCTGTTGGGTGTAGACGACGTTATAGTACGTTTAACACTACAGCGTGTGGATAAACATATATTACGACTAAAACTGATTTCATATGAGATTAAGTAGTGATCTGACACTGCTGGTCTGAGGAAGGATGGCCAAATGCTTGATGTCTATGCCTAAGGTCAATATTAAGTCTAGAGTGTGGTCACAGTAATGAGTAGGCCCCATAATATTTGGAGTGAAGCCAAAACAGTCTAAAATAGATACAAATGCCTCACTTAGCGGATCCTGTGTTTTGTCTATGTGGATATTAAAATCTCCAACAATTATTACTTTATTCGAGATTGTTATTAAACTAGATAACAGGTCAGTAAATTCCTGTAAAAACTCGGAGTAAGGCCCCGGTGGCCTGTAGATTATGATGAGTGAAAATGAGCTCTCATTTGTTCCTCGACTGCTAACGTTGAGAAACTGAATTTCAAAGGTAGAGAAACTACGGTCTGCTTTCTGGTTTAGTCCTGACGTTAATGTTGATCAGAAGCTCAACACGCGGCTCAGCAGCACATCTGGGGGAGTTTATTTCACTGGTTTT